TGCAAGGACTGGCCCATCCTGGCCAAATGCCCAAAGTATGTGAGACAGAGCCTAAAAATCCTTGTCTCCAGAGAGCAGCCTGGTTTCACCCTCTCCAGGATAGACCTGTTTGTTCTCCTGGTAGTCCATGGTATGTTCAACTCTCTTCTCCAGCACCACAATTCAAAGTTATTGAACCTTTGCTATCATCCTTAGTTATTGTCCAGTTGTCAGAAGCATAGCAAGTAATTACAAAGATCATGGCCTGCATTAGGTGTACCTTCATCTCCAGACTGATATTGTTGCTTTTCAGTACTCTAGAGAGGTCTCTGACAGAAAACTCCCAATGCATTTCATCTTCTGATACCTGATTGCTGGTGCCAAGAGTGTGATTTTGGCACTGAGCAAGCTGAAGTTATCAACAATCTCAATCTTTTCTCTTCATCAAGAAGCTGCCAGTAGGCCTGGTGGTGAGAATGTTTGTTTTCTTGATTTTGAGCTCCAATACACATTGAAGATTACAGTCCTTGGCCTTCTGCAGCAAACGCCTCATGTCCTCTTCCGTTACAGCAAGCAAGGTTGTGTCATCTGCCTAATGCAGGTTGTTGATGACTTTTCCTCCAATCCTAATGCCACATTCCTCCTCATAAAGTCCAGCTTTCTGAATGATCTTTTCTGCATTAGAATGAAAAGGTATGGAGATAGGAAACATCCCTGAAACACACCTTTCCTGATTCTGAACCAAGTGTTTCCTTGCTCTGTTCTAACTATTGCTTACTGGTCCAAGCATAGTTTTCACATGAGCCCCATTAAATATTCTGGGATGATTCTGTCCATTGGACATTATAGGAGGGATCATTCATTAGAAAAGGACATTAAAATTTGAGGGTCATCAAAAGAGAGGAAGACCCTCAACAAGATGGATTAACACAATGACTGCAGCAATTGGCTCAAGTATGTCAGAGCTGGTCAGGCACAGGATAGGACAGTGTCCCGATCCATTGTTCGTCAGGTTGCTGTGAGCTGTATTTGATTCACTGGCACCTAACGACAATTATAGCCATATGGACTAGACCACCAAATTTCCTTATTTTTAAAATTCCAAGTGTTGTTCATGAGTTGGAACCAACTCATAGATGACTCTGCAGCAACTTTTGGGAAGATATTTTATAAATAAGTGTGGCAGGAGATTGCCTGTCCTTCTCCCTTGGAGCTGCTGCTGGATCTAAACCATATGAGGTTTAAAAATAGTCTAGCAAAATTGAAGATACAGAATTGCTTTAATATGTCTTTGTATTGTTTAATATGTTTAAAATTTTTGTGTGTGTGTGATTTGAATGAAAGCAGACTGTTTTTCCATTCAACCATGCATAAAAATTTTGTTTTATGACATTGATTACAATCTTCACATAATAACAGCATTCTTTCCACTTTCTCCTTTTAATTCTTGTTTTCATTTATTTTATCCTGTCTCTTCTTAACTTCTGAGTTCTTTGCCTGGGAAAATGTTGCCCTTTTAATCTTCCCCCATACCTACCACTCTGCCCTTTTAATCTTATATGTCCCTTTCTTCTATAGGACTGAATACCTCCCTGGTGACATTATTCCCCTTATAAGTCTATTTAGGGGTTTCACCTCCATATCTTTTCAATCTATATGCAGAACAGATCATTCGAGAGGCTAGACTTTATGAGGACTGTGGCATCAGGATCGGAGGAAGACTGATCAAAAACCTGTGTTATAGCTTTGTGCAGTGGCAATATCGTAGCCAGTGAGGTTTATCCGAGGCGCAATTATTGCAAAACAAAACAAAAAAAAACCCCTGTGTTATGCAGATGACACAACCTTGCTTGCTGAAACTGAGGAGGATGTGAAGCACTTGCTGAAGAAGATCAATAACTATGGTCTTCAATATGGATTGAAGCTCAACATCAAGAAGACAAAGATTCTGACCACGGGGCCAATTGGCAGCATCATAATAGATGGAGAAGAGATTGAGATTGTTAATAATTTCAGCTTGCTTGTGTCCACAATTAATACTCTTGGCACTGTTGCTGTTGAATGCCGTCGAGTCGTAGACGACTCATAGCGACCCTATGAACGAACAGCCTGAACACTGTTCGTACACAGAGTTTCTGGAGGCAAGCCATTTTGGAAGTGGATGCTGCTCCTGCTTCCAGGCTTGATTTAGTCGGGAAGCTCCAGCCAACACTGTCCACCATGGGTGCCCATTACCACGATTGGCACATCACTGTCACAGGCTTCAGCATCACAGCAACCACGAGTTACCTCTGTACAGCAACACACAGACCAGTGCTATACCACCTAGAAGAATGTTTGACACTAGCAGTCAGAAAATAAAAAGTCGGATTGCATTTGTAAAATTTGCTGTCAGGGACCTCACCCAAGTACTCAGGAGCAATGATGTCAGTCTGGAGACTAAGGTGTGCCTAATCCAGGCCATGGTCTGTACAGTTGTTTGCTATGCATCAGAGAGGTGAACAATGACTAAGGATGACAGAAGAAGAATTGATGGCTTTGAATTGTGGTGCTGGAGAAGAGTCTTGAACATACATACCATAGACCACCAAGAGAACATACAAGTCTGTCTTGGAGGGGGTGAAACCAAGTTCCTCCTTGGAGGCAAGGATTTTGAAGCTCCATCTCACGTACTTTGGACATGTAGCCAGGAGGGACCAGTTCTTGGAAAAGGAAGGGTGGAGGGACAGCGCAGGAGAGGAAGACCTCGGATGAGATGGATTGACATGATAACTGGGGCAATGGTATTAGGTGTGTTGGAGTCAGTAGACTGGTTCAGGATAGGGCAGGGTTCAGAGCTGCTGTACATAGGGTTGCTATGAGTCCTAAGTGGCTAGATGACACATAGCAACCAGAACAAGTCTATTTATAGTTTGGTTGAAAATTGAGTCACAGACTCAAGGAATAATTAAGAGCCGTGATACTGGAGTTCCACCATTCTTTATCACCAGTAAATCTGGCCATTTTTATGATTTTGAATTTTGTTCTACTTTTTTTCTCCCAGTCTATCCAGACCTTTTGTTGTGATTCCTTTCAGAACTCCTACCGTCCCTTATAAGACACTTCTGATTGCTACTAATACACTTAATTACATTCAATGAAGTTTTATGAATTTCATTCTTCCTCACACAACTTTAGGTAAATTTCTTTTCCAATTGGTGTTGGAAATGCTAAATGGATGGAATATCTACAGATCCCTGAACAGTTCTACTTCACTTCTTTATCGGCTGGAAGATGAATCAACCTATGAGAGTGTTGACAGGGAACCAAAGCATTAGTCAGGAGGTGACATTAATTACAACGCAGCCTATTTTTAGTACCTGACATATATTAGCTCCTTTCAATATTCACCAGATCTTACACTAATTTTACAATAAGGTGGAACCAGAGAATACAGCTCTTCCCAACACAGGCTGAACTCAAGCAATTCGTCTAGAGTTTAGGTTCTTAACTGCCAAATACAGAAATAACCGGGTAAAGGTCTGCCACAATTTAAGACCACACCCAGTCAACCTACGCGTCTGTTAGTGAAAAAACAAATGAACTAGAGTGGGAAACCTTAAAGAGAGTCCTGGTATAATAATTAAGCAAAAACCTACTCTCTGTTTTACATTGGGCTTACTTTGTGCAAGGCCCTGAGTAAAAGGGCTTTATGTTTAATCCTTACAGTAACCCCTTTGAGTGAGATGCCGTCATCATTCCATCCTGTTGTACTGATGAGGAAGCTGACGCACTGAGTTCACAGACTTGCCCAACACCGGGCGTTTCAGCCAAATTGAACTCGGTTCAGTGGCGGCCACGTGGCGGCCACTGGAGGAAGCGGCGGGGGCGGGGCCGGGCCCAGCGGGGGCGGGGCCGGGCCGAGCGGGGGCGGGGCCAGGACCGCAAAGACCGGCTTCTCGCGGCGGGCTTTCAGTGGGGTCGCACCTGTTGCCTGACTCCAGTACAATCCGACTGCGGGCTTCCGACCCTCAACAGCTAGAGTGTTGAGAAGCCTAAACGAGTTCCGGGTGCTGCTCCCTGGAGGCGGGGCACGTAGCTCGTCCGCTTTTATCGCGGGGCTGGGGGCCTGGAGTCCGGGGTTTCCGGAGACCATTCCAGCCGCTGTCCTCCGCAGGCATCAGCCTCCTGCCAGCTGACCGTTTTGAAAGGCTGCTTTACTCCTCACCCCTCCGTGCTAGTTTAGGAGCCCTTGGAGCGACTGGGGGGGGTGTTCTGGATTCAATCCCCCTTCTCCTTCCTCGTGACCCCAGGCTTCCCGGTTTCGCAGACCCTCGCGGGGAACCTCCCTGGTTTTTGGGGCTCGGGCAGCATGGCCTCAGGTGAGTGTGTCCTTGTGTTGAGGAGTGGGTCTCTTGGACAGAAATGCAATGATCAGGGTGACAGAAGGCTTGCGGGGGGTCCCCAGCACAACCTGTAGGACGTAGGGTGAAGGTGATAAGCCTCCATCTAAGGGGGGTTTCGAGGAGGAGCTCTGAAGAAGGAAGGACCTTGGGGAAAGCCAGAAGACGCTACGGGTCCCTTTCTTAGACCTCCAGCTAAGCCTTTTCTTGCTTTCCTAGAAGGCAACTTCTAGTGGAATTTTCCCAGGACTGACCCCTCCTTACCAGGTTGAGTTTCTCCTTTCTACCTGCTTCTTCTTCTCTCTAACTAGGCTACCATTGGATCTGAGGATCAGCAAGAGAAGGAGAAAAGGGAGTCCGGTCCCCAGGGGGGTCAGCCTTTAATAGGAGTGCCCCAGGGAACCTGCCCCGAAAGGAACTTGTTCTGAATTTGGAGGCAGGGACTGGATTCCGGTTTATGATTTTTTTCCCCCTCCAGGGCTGGCTGGACCAGCTAACCTGAACTTTGGCTTCTTTACCCTGGCGCCCTGGCACGGGGTGAAGGTTTCTCAGGGGTTGGTAGGAAGCTGGGCTGGCCCTTCTCCATTTTGATTTCCCCCCTGACCCCTTGGGTCCCACCCCTTTAGGTCCCAACTCCATCTGTCACGTCACTCTGGGAATTGAGCAGGAGTGGGAGGGATCGGGGCGGGATGGAGGCCCCGCGCCTCTAGGTTGCCTAGACAACATGAGAAATCAAGGCCAGGGCCTCTTCCGCCCGCCGGGCCCCGGCTTCCTGCATCAGTCACTCCCGCTGGGGGCGGGGCGGAGGAGGGGATTGGATGTGGCGGAGCGAGGCCCCCGCCCGAGCTCAGACTCCCACCCATTGTCACCGCGGGCCCCAGCCATGGCATCCTATCCATCTGGTTCTGGCAAGCCCAAGGCCAAATATCCCTTTAAGAAGCGGGCCAGCCTGCAAGCCTCCGCAGCGGCACCAGGTGAGTCTGCGCTTCCCGGCTGCAGGCACCGCTCTACCCGCATCTCTAGCCCCGACCATGGGGCCGCTCAGAGAATGATCACCCGTTTCTCCTGCACTCTCTCTGCAGAGATGCTCCTTGATCCCAGACACAGCTTGGAAGGTCATGTGGATAGGATGCTGGGGTAAGGGAGGTGACTGAGGTTTCTGTGTTGCGGGATGCTATCCTCTGTAGCAAGGAGTGGGCGTGGGTGTGGGTGCAGCAGAAGGTATGTTTGCACACGTGTCAGTGTGTGGAAGTGTAGAAACCATTTGCAGGTGGTGTGGTGTGTGTGTATGTGTGTGTGTGAATGAATGAGGGTGTTGGAGGACTGGCCCGCCTGACCATCACTGTACCTCCCCCGGCAGGCTCAGCTTCCTTCTGCAGCTAGCTACTCTTTTTTAGGGCTCTAAACCTGGAACCTGCTGACTGGGGTCTGACATTCGGGCACACCATTTCTGGCCGGCAACCTGGAGTGGGGTTCTTGGTTGTGGGACTATTGCTTGTGTGACTGTATAGTTTCCATGATCCTGGTCTGTGTGTCTGTGCTTCCTTAGGGAATTAGGGTTCCATGATTAGATCCACTTTGGGGTATGGCCAGGGACTACTGCATTCCTGCACCCTTTGATTCATCTCTCACTCTAAGAGGCAGCTTTACACCATTTGGAATAGCCCCCACTGTGTGGCTGTGCTCATCACCCGAGGCCTCAGCTGTTTGGCTCTGTCTGCACAGGCATGCCTGCTTGGTGCACCCAAGTCCCTTGCAGCCCACTCCTTCTTTGGTGAACAAGTCAAGTGGAACCTCTCCTTACCCCCATTGCTGCTCTCTGTGCCTAAAGCTTGAGCACCCCTCACCTCTGTTTAGTGTGCTGTTGAAGATGCCTAGCTCAAAGCCTGTACTGTCCTGAAGATCAGGGTTCTCTGTGCCACTCAGAGGGTGCGTCTTCTGGGGCTAGGGCTGACCCAGTTGCTGAATTAGAGACCCTGGTTTGTTAAAGACCAGAGCTTCTGATACTGTTGAGCACAGTCTTGGGGATCTCCCTGCCTGTGAGGCATTCTTGGTAGTGAGGGAGGGCCTCCTGGTCAGTGGAGGAGACAGCGTGGAGTTGATGAGAGTAACTTTGTGGACTAATGATTTATTCCTATTACAAAAAAAGGTGACCCGACAGTGTGCAAATTATAGAATATTATCACTAATATCACACACTAGAAAATCCTGCTGAAGATTATCCAGAAATGACTGGAACAGTACATTGACAGAGAACTACCAGAAATATAGCTAGGTTTAGAAGATGTCATGGCACTAGAGACATTACTGCCAATGTCAGATGGATCTTGTCAGAAAGCAAAGAGTACCAGAGGAATGTCTATCAGTATTTCCTTGACTATGCAAAAGCATTTAACTGGGTGGATCACAACAAATTGTGGCTAACCTTGAGGAAAATGGGAATCCTATACTTAGACCAGGAGGCACTCCTCAGAACAGAGCAGGGAAACACTGCATGGAAAGGAGTGCATTAGGGATGTATCCTGCCTCTGTCTTTTCAATCTATATGAAGAACAGATCATTTGGGAAGCAGCGCTTTATGAGGAGGAGTGTGGCATCAGGATTGGAGGAGGACCTATCAACAACCTACGTTATGCAGATGACACAGCCTTGCTTGCTGACACTGTGCTTTGCTGCACAAGGCCAAGGACTGTAGTCTTCAATATGGATTAAAGCTTAGCATCAAGAAGACAAAGATTCTCACCACTGGGCCAATTGGCAGCATCATGATAGATGGAGAAGAGATTGAGGTTTGTTAACAATTACAGTTTGCTCAGCTTCACAATCAACACTCTTGGCATCAGCAGTCAGGAAATAAAAGACTAATCACATTAGGTAAATCTGCTGTCAGGGACCTCTCCAGAGGGCTGAAAAGCAAAGATATCAGTCTAGAGACTAAGTTGTGCCTAATCCAGGCCATGGTCTTCGCGGTTACTTGTTATGCTTCAGAGAGTTGGATAATGACTAAGGATGACAGAAAAAGAATTAATGCCTTTGAATTGTGGTGCTGGAGAAGTCTTGAACATACTATGGACCACCAGGGGAACAAACAGGTCTGGCTTGGAGAGGGTAAAACCAAGTTTCTCCTTGGAGGCTTCTATCTTGAAGCTCTCTTACACACTTTGGGCACGTGGCCAAGAGAGACGGGTCTTTGGAGAAGGACATCATGCTTGGAAGGTGGTGGGACACTGCAGGAGAGGAAGACCCCTGATGAGATGGATTGTTACAGTGACTTGGGTGCTAGGGGTTGGTGTGTCGGAGTCCGTGAGACCGGCTCAGGACAGGGCAGGCTTCATAGCTGCTGTACATAGGGTCGCAGTGGGTTGCAGGTGACTGATGGTGCAAAACATAACAAAGTGTAGGTGCATATGAGTGTGGTAGTGTGTCCAGAACCTCAAGCAAAAGTCCTGGGAAGAGGGACCAGCCAGTAGCGGAATCTACTAGCCACTGACCCCAGAGTGAGTGTGGAGATTATCCCAGCTGAAACCCTAGTCCTTTGTACTGTGTAATGTTGATGAGATGGCTCTGACTGCTGAAACTGGTCTTTGTTACCCACCATGATAGTACAACTCAGACCACTCCATTGGTAAAAACTCAAACTCACTGCTGTTGAGTTGGAGCTGGGTCTTAGCTGGCCCTTGGCATCTGTAAATTGCATGGGAGGAGACTGCCATCTTTCTCCCGCAGAGTCCATCAGTAGATGGACATGAAAAGTCTGCCTTTAGCAGATTAGGAATTAGCAGTGCATCTCATGATGGGGAGGTTTGAGATTAGGACCTTCAGCTCCATCTTCTGACTCAACACAGACTATCCTTCTATCCTTGAGGGGTGTGGTCTACCTTCCCTGTGAGGAGTTAGGAGTAACTTGGGGTCCTATTTGGAGAGGGGGTTGTTATATGTCCTGGAGGCAATTATGACTCAGAGAAACTCTAAACAACTAATGGAACCTTGCTCTATCCTGTGCCCTCCTCATAATTCTCTGACATGCTCGAACCTGTTATAGTCCTTACCCCAGTCTGTCTTGTTGAGGGTGTTCTTCTCTTTCTCTAAACCCCTAACTTTTTCAGCCTGGTGTCTTTTCCCAAGGCTTGATCCCCTCCTGACAATGTGCCCAAAGCGTGTGAGACGAAGTTTCACCGTCCATGCCTTTGAGGAACATCCTAGCTGAACTACTTCTAAGATGAGTTTGTTTCTTCTTTTGGCAGTTCATAGGACATTCAGTACTCTTCGCCAACACATTTCAAAGACATAGATTCTTCTTCTGCCATCCTTATTCATTGTTCAACTTTCAGATGCTTAGGAAGCAACAGAAAGTACAGTGGCTTGGATCAAGCGCACCTTAATCATTAAACTGACATCTTTGCTCTTGAGTTCTTTGGAGAGGTCTTTGACAGCACAATTCTCCAGTGCAGCATGTTTTTTTAGCAGGGACAGAGTATGTAGAATCAGGATTACTTCAGCAAGATTCTGATAGGTGGTTCAGAGGGTTGCTGTGAGTCACGGATATCTAACAAGAGGGAAGCCCAGGGCCTTCAGCTTTCCCTGACACCTGGGGCATAGGGCAGGGCCGGCCTGCCTTCCTCTTCTGACACTCCCTAGCCTGTTCCCTGCCAGCTTCTCTTTTTCATTGCTCAGCTGCCTTGGCTGGTACTGAGCTCTGGGACCCTCTCACCCCATTCCCTTATACAGTGGGGGGGCTACATGTGGAGACTCTTTTAAGGGTTCCAGCAGTCTGATCTTGAAGCCCCCGCACCTTGGTGATCTCGCCAGTGTTTAAAGAACACTTGCAGAGCCCTTATTTTCTCTGAACGTGATACAGCTGTGGCCAGCCAGGGTGGGAACTGCTTATCATCCCATGTTACAGAGGAGGGCCTAAGCCTCAGTAGAGACTCGCCTGTATGTGGGAATAGAATCCGACTCAAGTCTTCCAATTCTCCTAGAATTCTTCTTTTTGCCTTGTCCCTGGAAGTAGGGCTAGAGAGAGGAATTGTACTAGCCCCCCTAGGAAGTAGGCCGTGGGAAAGCCTCCATGACCCACCCCTCCGAGCCTGGCCCCTGTTCAGGCTGCTAGGCTGTACCCCTCTGCAGTGAAGCACCACATCTCCCCCACTGGAGCCCCCAAGTAGGGCCCTGAGGGCTAGCTTAGGAAACAAGGTCCTGGGACTGCTGTGTGTGTGGCCCCAAAAGCCTGTCTCTCCTTTCCCCTCCTCCTACCTTTCTAGACTGTCTGGCAACTGAGGGGGTTTTGACCCTTCAGCCGGTCAGGCCCCGCCCACTCTGCTAGAACAGTAGATTTTAAGGCCTGGCCCCTCCTGTACGTCTGCCCTGCCCCTATCAGCCTGCCTTGCTCCTCCCCCTTGGGGGCCCCACATTTAGCTGGGCACAGGCACCGTAGAGGTTAAGGCCCTGTTCAGTGATGGGGTTTTTCGTGGCTCCCAACTCTGATGTCGCTTTTTGATTTCTGGATTTCCCTGAACTCCCCCAGCCCCCTGCTCTTCTCCGTCATCTCAGGGTCTCCCCTGCCTGCAGCTGCACTTGGTACAGCCCGTGCCGGCCCCTGAGCTGTCCTGGGGGACTGGCTGCAGCCTCACACAGCAAGCAGGCGGGCTAGGGGCACTGGGCTGCTGGTCGGAGCTGCCTGAACTGTGCAGGTAGGGCCCACGCAGGGATGCGAGCCGGGGGTCGGGAGATGGGCACCGGATCTGGGACAGGCACGTTCCCCTTCCCTTTGTCCATCCCAGGGACTGGCTTCTGGAAAAGTGGGCACAGAGACTTTAAGGAAGACTGCGTGGGCAGAGCCCCCAATCCTTCCCTAAGCCAAGGTGGAAAGAGGAAGGGAGGGTGCTGGAGGGGAGCACCTCAGAGCTGGCTAGGAGAGCTAAGTTGGGTGTGAAGAACTAAGAAAAGCCAAGGAACATCTCTCAGGGTGGGCTGGAAGCTCAGGTAGCCCCTGCAGACTAGCATCTTCGAGGCCTTTGGTGCCAGCCTCCTGGTGGTAGCTTAGGTTTCTGCCCTCAGTGGAGACTTTCCCAGAGCACTCCCTGGGGCCTCCCGCCTGGATCTTGGGGCCTCTAAGTAGCACAGCCTGTTTGTGGTAGCTCTCTTTGGAGGGGCAGCCAACAGTGGGAGGGCAGGCTGGGGCCAAGCCCCATCTTGGCAGCCCTAGGGTCCTGGGGGAGAGGGCAGGCCTCTTGGGAAGAACCAGAGCTCTTGTTGCCAAACAGGTCCTCACTTCTCTCCTCCTCTCTGAGGGCTAGTCCCCAGGTCAGAGCTGAGTGACAGCTACGATTGCCCCTATAGTAAGTCACTCACTCCCTTATTGCCTTTGAACTGGAAACTATTCATCTTTCTTCCACAGAGCAGCTGGGGGATTCGAACCATCTGATTTTAGCTCCCTAGGGTGTCTGCCTGAGATATCAGATAGGGGAGGGTCTGAGGCAGATCTGATCCTGGCCTCCCTGCCTGGAGCGTGGGGTGGGGATTCTGGTGTGGCCACCCTATCCTGCTGTGACTCCTGTGTGTCTCCACCCTGAGGGAGGTACTTACTTGAATGTTCTTAAGGTCCCGGGAAGCCAGACCTAGTCCTGGATTCAGGTTCTCATTCAGGAGTCACAGAACCACACTCAGGATTCCTCCTACCCCCCTGAGCCTGGGGTGTTGAGGTTCCTTTGCTGTGCTGTGAGGGTGAAGGCCTGTGGGAGTCACTTGCAGGCTCTTGCTCACTCTGAAGACTGCCCTTTCTCTGAAGCTTCTCTGGGGTGATCAGGAGCCCAGTACTTCCAGAGTGCTCAGACTCTGGCCTTCAACCCACTGGCTTGGCCTCACTGTCCTTACAGACGCCCGAACTGGGCTGGGGGCCCCTCAGCTGCAGTCTGCCCGATCCCTGCCAGGACCTGCCCCCTGCCTCAAGCACTTTCCGCTCGACCTCCGTACATCTATGGATGGCAAATGCAAAGAAATCGCAGAGGTATTGCCTGGCAGTGCCCCTCAGCAGTGCCCCATGCTCTGCCTTGGCCTTCCTTGTTCCCTGCCTCAGCTCGCCCTCATCTCACCTTGGCCATACCCTGGTCCCCACCTCTGCCTGACTGAGGGACTGACCTCTCCCTGTTGGCCTCCTTTTTCCTCCACCAGGAGCTGTTCAGCCGGTCACTGGCTGAGAGTGAGCTCCGCAGTGCGCCCTACGAGTTCCCCGAGGAGAGCCCCATCGAGCAGCTGGAGGAGCGACGGCAGCGGCTGGAGCGCCAGATCAGCCAGGATGTCAAGTGAGCTGCCCGCCTGACCTCTAGAGCTTGCTGGGGGCCCACAGGTCTGCCAAAACCTTTCTCTTTACTCGATGGCTTTCAGAGCCCCTTCTCTGTCCCCCTTTCTCCTGAGGGCAGGCCACATAGAGCAGTGGTTGGAAGTGGCTTTCAAATGAAGCCGTATGTGTTCTGGTTCTGTCTGTCTCCAGCCATGTGACCTGGAACACGCTGTTTAACTTGGGTCAGTTTTCTTCTTACCAGATCAGATCCAGAACAGCACCCATGGCACAGGGTTCTATCCCCGTGATGATCCCTGTGCTGGCCAGGCACAGCACCCATTCTGGGGGTGGGATCTGCCTGACCTCTCCTTCCTCTCACCTCCAGGCTGGAGCCAGACATCCTGCTTCGGGCCAAGCAAGACTTTCTGAAGACAGACAGTGACTCGGACTTACAGTGAGGGGGACAGAGGGCTGAGGGAGGCTGTGCTGGGCTCTGCTTGCTGTAGGATCCAAGCCCACCATGCCCACTTTCCTGTGCAGGCTCTACAAGGAGCAGGCCGAGGGCCAGGGTGACCGGGGCCTGCGGGAACGAGATGGGCTGTTGGAGCGAGAATTCCAGCGGGTCACCATCTCCGGGGAGGAGAAGTGTGGGGTGAGTATAGGACTAGTGCTTGGATCCCTGTTCCCAGGTGCCTCAAGGAGCCAGGGGCAGAGGAGTCGGCAGGAGAGATTATTTCTCTTACCAAAAGCTAAGAAGGGCAGAGGGACCTGAAGTGCTGGGGCCTGAGTCATCTGAGTGTGTTTGGGGTCAGGACCTGTGGGAGATGGGAGAGTGTGGGGTCTGCAGGCAGAGACCACAGTGTGAGCCTTCGCGGTCCTCGTCTCCAGGTGCCATTCACAGACCTGCTGGACGCAGCCAAGAGCGTGGTGCGGGCCCTCTTCATCCGGGAGAAGTACATGGCCCTGTCCTTGCAGAGCTTCTGCCCCACCACCCGCCGGTACCTGCAGCAGCTGGCTGAGAAGCCTCTTGAGACCAGGATCTATGAGCAGTTCCCCGAGACCCCTGTGTCTGCTGGTGGGACCCCCTATCATTTCCCTCTCTTAAGTGCCCTGGTCTTCCAGGGCCCCTGCTGTTGGGGCCCAGGAACTTTTCTCTTTCCTGCTACTTTGCCACCTGGGCTCCTCCCAGCCTCTCTGTGGCTCTAGGTGGTGGGGAGGTGGTGGTAGGGACAAGAGGTGCCCTGCTGGGCCTTTGGCATAACTCATTCTCTTCAGCACTTCTGGTGGGTAAGGGCTTCACCCTGCTTTGGAAAGGTGGATGCGTCTGGGGCGGAGAGGCCCTGGCCCTGACATTCCCTCCTCACCCTCACAGATGCCCCTGTGCACCCCCCTGTATTGGAACAGCACCCATATGAGCACTGTGAACCGAGCACCATGCCTGGGGACATGGGCTACGGGCTGCGCATGGTGCAGGGAGTGATGCATGTCTACCACCACAGGGATCTCGGCGAGCAGTAAGAGGGCTGTGCTATGTGCTGGGGAGGCCAAATGGGAGGCTGCTGGCTTGGGGAGGGCTGGGGCCTGGCTTGCTTTCCTCACCCGGATTTTCCCACATGCCAGTTGCCCGGAGGTGGAGCTGCCATACCCAGACCTGCAGGAGTTTGTGGCTGATGTCAATGTGTTGATGGCCCTGATTATCAATGGCCCCATGTGAGTGCCCACCCATCATAGGCCCTCAACTCTCCTCCCAGCTCAGATTTCCCAGCCTCTCTCTAGACACTTGTCATAGTCACTTATCTCTTAGTCATTGTGCCCTAGTGCACCCAGCCAGCCCTGTCTGCTCTGCTACACAGGCCTCAGTGTGGGCTCTGACCCTTTACCTGGTCCTCCCCCATCCAGAAAGTCATTCTGCTATCGGCGGTTGCAGTATCTAAGCTCCAAGTTCCAGATGCATGTGCTCCTCAACGAGATGAAGGAGCTGGCCGCCCAGAAGAAGGTGCCCCACCGGGATTTCTACAACATCCGCAAGGTGGGCCCTCTCCCCGTGGCACCTTGGCGCTGCCTGGGCCTGGCCTTGGGGTCTTTGTCCTGAGTGGAGGGTCCTCTCGCATCCTGTTGCACGGAGGCCTGGCCTTCCCAGTCTCGCGTGGACTCAGAGCCCTCTGTGCCACCCAGGTGGACACACACATCCACGCCTCGTCCTGCATGAACCAGAAGCACCTGCTGCGCTTCATCAAGCGGGCAATGAAGCGGCACCTGGAGGAGATCGTGCACGTGGAGCAGGGCCGGGAGCAGACCCTTCGGGAGGTCTTCGAGAGCATGAACCTCACTGCCTATGACCTCAGTGTGGACACGCTGGACGTGCACGCGGTCTGTCCCCACACACAGAGGGCTGCAGGGCTGTGCCAGTGATGGAGCAGGGTGTGTGAGTTCTGATGTCTCCCCTAGGACAGGAACACCTTCCATCGCTTTGACAAGTTCAATGCCAAGTACAACCCCATTGGGGAGTCTGTCCTCCGGGAGATCTTCATCAAGACTGACAACAGAGTTTCTGGGAAGTACTTTGCTCACATCATCAAGGTGAGGAGGAACAGTGCTGCCAGTGGGCAGCCTGGCCGAGCGGAGAGCCGGAGGGCCTGAGGGTTTGCATGGGGTTAGGGGCCTGGGGTCAGATGCAGTTTTAAAAGACCACACTGCCATTATCATTTCCAGTGTTGAATTAACCCAACAAGGTAAGCACCAGCTTACTTGTGTGTATACAAATCTATAGCCAGCAATTTCACACTTTTCACAGCATCAAAGATTTTGCTTCTAGGTATGCATCTCCCAATCCCTTCCCACAGCACCTTCCCACGGAATCAAAGCCTCATCATTTCACCACATCAGACCCTTGTGAAACTGTTCATGACAGATCAGACAAACAGTTCCCATGTACCATCTCATAGCCAGCATGTGTTCAGTTTTTTTTTTTTAATCTAGAAAGTTTTTTTTCTTTTTTACAATTCTGACCATCTTATTATCTAAGATGTCAATCTCTACATCACTCTGCCCTTTCTAATGTTGTCTTACTTTGGTTGGTTGGGTTTTTAAAAAATTCATGACATTTACCAATTCTAACATGCTTATAGTTTCTGTATTTATTAACTCTTTCACTCTGTCACGATGGAGACTTTGCGAGCTCTACTTTGTTTCCTGTCCCTTTCTTCACGGATCTCTAGTACCCACCTGTCTTAGCTGAAGGAGAGAACTGAGAAGCATTAGTGGCAAAAGGTTGAAACTTTGTTGTTTAAACATGAAAGTTGTTTAATGGTACAGGATTTCTTCTCCATTTTTTCCCTACTTTCACATAGCTTCTAAAATTTCACTAGTGAATGTTAAACGAAAGGTCCTCCTGGGAACACGTGGGAGCTGAGACGGGGTGGAGGACAGGTGTGACAGTTGTGCCTTTGTGTCTCCCAGGAGGTGATGTCCGACCTGGAGGAGAGCAAGTACCAGAACGCCGAGCTGCGGCTGTCCATTTACGGGCGCTCGCGGGATGAGTGGGACAAGCTGGCGCGCTGGGCCGTGATGCATCGTGTGCACTCACCCAATGTGCGCTGGCTTGTGCAGGTGCCCCGCCTCTTGTGAGTATTGCCAGGCTGAGGGGACATAGGATGCAGAGTTCAGCAGGCCAAGGCCCTCCCTCTCCCCTCCAGGGCAGCCTTCTGGAGAAGGGGCCAGCAGTTCTCTCAGGGTCTGTCTGGCCTGGCTGACCTGTGTATGTGCATGTGTCTTACTTGCAGTGACGTGTACCGGACCAAGGGCCAGCTGGCCAACTTCCAGGAGATGCTGGAGAACATCTTCATGCCGCTCTTTGAGGTCACCGTGCACCCTGCCAGCCACCCAGAGCTGCACCTCTTCTTGAAGCATGTGAGTGGCTGGACAGGGTTGGGAGCCAGGCAGCTGGGCAGCACACCCGGGCCTGACCACATGGTCTTCTGCCAGGTGGACGGCTTTGACAGCGTGGATGACGAGTCCAAGCCTGAGAACCATGTCTTCAACCTGGAGAGCCCGCTTCCTGAGGCGTGGGTGGAGGAGGACAACCCACCGTACGCCTACTACCTGTATTACACCTTCGCCAACATGGCTGTGCTGAACCACCTGCGCAGGTGCCTGCCCCATCTGATGCTGCATCTCTGACTCACCTTCTTATTCAGCCGACTTTGTTCTGGACTTGACCTGGGCCGGGACCTCTAGAGCACAGACCTACCTTTTGTCCTCATACCTGGACTGGGTGGGCTCTTTATTTGCCCTTGGGCCTTTGCTCCTAACCCCTTACCACCAATAACTGACCCTGCTCCTAATGCCAGACCCAAGCAGTCACTGGCTGGAGGACAGGTGTGCACTGGGCTAGGGGCTCAGGCACTGATGAGTTTTCATGTCTCCAGACAAAGGGGTTTCCACACGTTTGTGCTGAGGCCGCATTGCGGGGAGGCTGGGCCCATCCACCACCTGGTGTCGGCCTTCATGCTGGCTGAGAACATCTCCCACGGATTACTGCTGCGCAAGGTCAGAGCCATCACCCCCTGCCTCACTGACCACTCATGCACCTCCTCCCTACTCAGCTCTCAGCGTGGCTTCTCCCTCCCAGTATAAGCAGCCTTCCATACCACCCCATGTCCTTGCCTCGACTGGGAATTACCCCGGATTCTGGTTGTCACTGACCCCTCTGCATATCAGACCTAGCCTGGACTCTCCTCCCCTGCCCACTACTGTGACCTGTGCCTCACACCCTGCTCACCACTGTATCATGTACCCCACATGCTGCTGACTACGTCGGCCTGTACCCCACACCCTGCTCACCACTGTGGCCTGTACCCCACACCCTGCTCACTACCATGGCCTGTACCCCCACATACAGTTACTATTGTGGCCTGTACCCCAAACCCTGCTCACCCCTGTGTCCTGTACCCTACCCCCTCTCACTACTGTGTCCCGTACCCCACACGCTGCTGATTACCTGGGCCTGTACCCCATACCCTGCTCATTACCTCGGCCTGTACCCCCACACCCTGCTTACCACTGTGTCCTATACCCCACACCCTGCTCACCACTGTGTCCTGTACCCCCACACCCTGCTCACTACTGTGTCCTGTACCCCACACCCTGCTCACTACCATGGCCTGTACCCCGCACCCTGCTCACTACCATGGCCTGTACCCCGCACCCTGCTCACTACCATGATCTGTACCCCACACCCTGCTCACCACTGTGTCCTGTACCCCACACCCTGCTCACCACTGTGTCCTGTACCCCGCACCCTGCTCACTACTGTGTCCTGTACCCCACACCCTGCTCACTACCATGGTCTGTACCCCCACACCCTGCTCACCACTGTGTCCTGTACCCCACACCCTGCTCACCACTGTGTCCTCTACCCCCACACCCTGCTCACCACTGTGTCCTGTACCCCCACACCCTGCTCACCACTGTGTCCTGTACCCCGCACCCTGCTCACTACCATGGCCTGTACCCCACACCCTGCTCACTACCATGATCTGTACCCCGCACCCTGCTCACTACCATGACCTGTACCCCACACCCTGCTCACTACCATGACCTGTACCCCACACCCTGCTCACTACTGTGTCCTGTACCCCGCACCCTGCTCACTACCATGGCCTGTACCCCACACCCTGCTCACTAC